ACAACGGAGGCTGAAACCATCGCACTCGCGTCAGGTGTTTTCAGCGAGGGCTTGCCGGCGCAAAGTCTTTGTGACATCCTGTTTGGCAGACCAACCATGCTTGCCTGCCATCAAGACAACGCTGCCGTACTCCAGATAATAGAAGCTGGATATAGCCCCAAGTTGCGTCATGTCTCGAAAACACATCGTCTCGACCTAGGTTCGCTATATGAAGTCTTCGAGTCACCTGATGCCTCGATAGGATATATCGCAACAGACAAGCAGAGAGCCGACCCATTGACAAAGAACCTGTCTCCTTGTCGTTGGAGCCACGCACTGGAATTGTTAGGTATAACTTCTAAGAGCTTTCAATGCCAAGCCGTGTGAGTAGCGACCATGCTCCGCACATCGTAAGCCAGCCATCGTAAGAAGGGGGAGAAGAAGTATACCACCGTTCGGTAACCCTAGAATGCAAGCCTAGTATCACTAATGCAAAGCAGGACTGAAACCCTCAATTGCAGGGGAATCATCCAAGAAACCTTAAGGGTTCGGATCGTTCAGACTTGCAACTCGACTTTTGGCTCAAGCGAGAGGAAAAAGGGCGCCTGGGCGTTCGGTCTCGCGTTTTTGTTATTATCTGTATTACCATGCCCGCAAACCGTTTAGATCCCAGATGGCAGCCATGCGCCGCCCTTTGTGTTGTGTTTGGGGCGGCGCGATGTTGCGCCAAGGAGAGAATGCCATTGAGGGAGAACGCTTCCCGGTGCAGGTTCTCAAGCGACAGGTGCGGGGACACAGCGTGAGCGTTGGGAGGTTCTGATGAAAGTTTGGAAGGCACTGGCATGCAAAAGCGAAAGGAAAAAGGAAGATTCTTCCTGGAAGAATCATGAATAACACCTTGAATAACCCCATTTAGATGCACGTCTTCCTGAATTTGGAGTAGTTCACGAAGCAACTTCAATCCTTTTCCAGGTTTCGACTGGATGATGACAAACAAGGCCTACCACCAAACCAAGAAATCCATGCCCTCTTTCAGCGTTGGAAAACGCGTGGTCAAACCACGTGTTGTTTGGAAAAGAACGGCGGACGACTCAGAGCGTCTTGTTTCACATCTTTGGACCCTACGGCGAGGCTTCGGAGAGCGGGGCACCATGCTACAACGGAGTAGTGACTGAAAAATACATGAAACGTTCTTGAACATGCAAGGAACATATCATCAAATGCATTACCATGACTGCTGTTGATCATAGTATATGGCAGGGTAAACTGATGTATGTGGATTACCATTATATAACACTCCACAGCTATTTCATGGTGTATTGTCCGTCGGTTTAGACCCATTCAGCCTCGCTTCAGACCGGAACGCGACCCGCGACGGAACGCGAGGTCCAGCAGTGCGAGGATCCCGACGGCGTGCGACGGAACGCGGAGGTCATCTTCGCGGCAGGCGGATGGACAGCGAAATTCACGCTGCTGATTTTCCGGGCCGCGGATGGACGCGTTTTCCATCCGGAACCCGGACCTGGGCCAGGGGGACTCCTATTAAAATTCACATCCATTTGTTTTTTGTCTTGAGGATTGGTCAGTGGATGAGATGTCCACAACCAGGATCGGAGGCGGTCTGAACCTATTTTCTGGGATGCGGAAATGCCATGAATTCACATGAAACAGCAATCTCAGGAGTCGCACGTTTGTTCACATCCAGAGCACTCACGCAACTCACGCCCCAGCATCTGAGACATATACCAAGTGGTAGCCTAGCGCTGACCAATTCAGAACCTTTGGTCAGGTCTATGAACCCCCAGCCGTTTGTTACATGTTTTGGGTATATGGAATTGCATCTCCATCCGCTCGCCCATCCACCCATGGCACCCCGCGGAACGTCTCCTCTCCGACCTCTCCGACCTCTCCGCTCCGGCGTCGGCGGAACCGACCTCTCGACGGCGAGGCACAGAGCTTCGTGCAGTGGTGAGGGATGGTCCGAAGACTTGGCCGTTGGGACGGGAGGGATGGGAACCGCATCGGGCCAGATGGACACCAGGACGTCCGAGAGGAATTTCAATGGAACACAGGTCCGTGCCATTGCACGATGCAGTCATATTCCTCGTGCTTCCATCATCAATGTAAATACATGATCCTCCTTTGTACTCCCCAAATTAAATCCTGTAGGTCCACTACGTTTTTTGAAATTGGGAAAACAAAAAATATAGTTGTGTTGAGACTATATCAGACGTTAGACCCCAGGAAATAATTTCAAACATGATCTCTATGTTGGGGGGGGGGGGGGTCAGGGGACAGCATTTAATTGTGTCGAAGAAAAGTTGTTTTGGAGGAGGGGGGGGTCAGGGGACAGGATTTAATTTTGAAGTGTCCAGAGGATATGGCCAGATGATGCCAGATGGGGGATCAGGAAGAAAAGTGTTTGAGAACATTCGAAAACAGATCGCAAAAGACACATACTACGCCAAACATGATAGAAGATGAGACAATAGAAACATGCCAGTCTATGACCACCCACCTGTACAACATTATTTCAAAATAACTTTGAGCAAAGGAGGACCCACTTCGCTATGTACCAAAGCGCTGTATGGGGGGCTGACCATGTTCATTGACGTGGCCTATCTTCAAGGAAGACACCCCTGGAAATAAATTACAAACATTTCCACACACAACCCATGACTCACAAAGTCCAAACATGAAGTGTCAAACAATTTTTGTCC